TCTGGCAGCCCATCTTGACAAAGCAAACGGGAAAAGGCGGAGCTTTGCAATCCAAGTGCTGGAAAGGAAAGAAGCTGCAGATGTGCGAAGCTCTGACTCGTGATTCACAGCATGCATTGGCCGTCATCTCCAGTCTCAATCCTAAGCCTCAACAGAGACAGGACAGCACTCTTGACATGCAACTCCTACCAGCATGGAGGGACGGCAGAAATTTCTCTCTTTTTGAGTAGTTGCATGCATCTGTCCTCCATCTCGGCGTCCCCGCCGAGGAATTCCCAGTCCTGCAATACAAACGTTTTTGCCACAAGCTTGTTGTTCTGACAGCGGGTGGGAGATGTGAACGACATCGGGAGCCGCAGAGTTGGACTCTGCTGGCCACGGCCTTTAATGGGCAGTCACTCCAAAAGAAGCACAGAGCAGGACTCCGAAGGTGTCGAGACCGCAAAGCTCGGGAGATCCACCAAGCCCTGATTCTGATCCTAACCTCCCCCTGTAAACCCGGCCCGCTCCCCAAAACCGACCGGTCCCCGCAGTAGTGAAAGAGTTGGCCACGGCAGGGCTGTCCACGGCCGTCTACGAAGAGCTCGGGATCGAAGAGGATCCGAACCTGCCGGGGCTACTGCTCTCACATCGACTGCTTGCTTTACCGCGAGCCCCAAAACTACGTCATGCTACGGCAGAGCTTGGGCTGTGCTTATCAGGCAGGGATGCAGTCACCGCCGCTTTGCCGGTCTCTCACCCCCGAACGGTCAAGATCTGTCAGCCACAACACAAACGATACAAGAACCTTTCCCAGCGGTGTTCGGAAAGGAGCTCCCTCACTCTTTCTAGCACGCAGTCTCGAAGGGAGCAACAGATGAGAATTCAGTATGGACTTGCCGGTTCATGGGTGGGTACAAGTAAAGCTGCAAGTAAACTGGGCCTGTCCGTCCAGGGGCTTCTTCGCCCTCTCCGGGTCTGCCAGCCATGGCCGGACATCGGTGGCAATGGGCAAACCGAATGCCTCAGGTCGCAGATCGTCGGTTCTTCAGGGCTTCAGTGGAGTTTAGGATTAGGAAGTTTTGGGCTTCTACTATCAGGGTAAAGGGTTTCGTCACAGGCCATCTGTTGTCGAGCCTTGCAGGATCCTGCTGAAGCTTGAAGTCCCAGGCCCAACCAAACCTCCGGGTGTCCTGTGCGCATCTTCTGTGCTTACTCCCGGGAGGGATTGGAAAGCAAGCTCAGTACATGCCCTCTCGTTTGCCGGAAGGCCTGGCTTGCTGATGACCCTGACCCTAGCGTTTGTATTATCGTATATTGCTTACCGAAAGGATGAGGCTCTGGGATCCAACTGGGACAAGGGCAGCTCACATGTCGAAACCCTTTTGTGGACAAAAAGCACACACTGCGAACGAGCTGCCAGGCAATGGTAGACGTGCTCAGCCACGTGATCCCTGAGTATCGCTACACTTGCCACACTCTCCCGTGGATTGCCGGCACAAATAAACCCGGCTCTAAGTAAGACTTTACGAAGAAAAAGCAGCAAGAGACGCTAGCGCCTTCACGGTCCGAATTATGTGGCTAGGGGAGAGCTACCCCCAAGAACTCAATCATTAGACTGCGCAGGCCCGGTAGCAAAACCATACCTGCTAGGTGTCTTCATCTAGCCGCTAGCCCCTGATTCCTCCAAGAACGACCAATCCAGTTTACTTTAGGATTTTGGAAAATATTTCTGCACCAAGCAAGGGTGACTTGTGTATGAAGATCTGCAGCATCTGGCCCCCCAAGCGCTTGATGCTGCTGTTGCCTTTGTGGCCATAGCCCTGCACTTGCAAACCGAAGCTCGCGCCCACCTCGGCCAACTTGGCACAAAGCTCTGAAGCCGTGCGATTTGTCACTGCCAGGGCGTCCTGTCACTGGCCATGACAGCAACTGCACCCAGCGAGCATCCCAAATCGAAGAAACAGGAAGGCCCCTCCTCCAGCATTTTCGTTAGCAGGCCCTGAAAGGAAAGGTCGGTGCAGCCGTAGCCTTGTCGGAAGCAGGTCAGGGGCGGCGCCTGCATGGCAGACCGTGCACCATTACGGTGTCCACGACGATGGCAGATGCGAAAACGGCGCAACCAAGGGCGGGAAGGATTATAAAGGATTAGACCCATGATGACCCCGAACCCTCCCTGCATCTCCCCTGGCAAACCCCGGCCCCCTGCCTCGGAGCCGAAGGCAAAGAGCGTGGGAGAGGCCGAAATGGCCAGGGAGCGAAACCAGGGGTCGTGATCCTGCGCGCGTGCGCGCGTGTGCGACGCAGTAGCTCTCAGTAGCTTAGCGGCTGAAGGCGTTTCCGCTCTGTGCTTCCTGGCGGTTTTTCAAGCTGGCGGTCCTGGCCACTTAGCGCATTTTCTGTCTCGAAAGCCGCCTTTAGCTTGCCGAGGGTCACTCCCTTGAAGTGTCCCGAGAAGATACGGGGAAGGGGGGCGAAGGTGTCGGGCAGCCGGAAGGCATGCCTTGCGATCTCTGCCTCAGAGTGCCAATGAGTTTCGACGAACTGCAAAAAAACTCCTGTAACTTGGTCTCCTCAGGACAGATTCCCAAGCCTACCTACTGCCCCAAGGCCAGCCTGGACTTCGTAGAGGAGGGAGGCGCTGTTGTAGTGATGGTAGAACACGCAGAAATCATCATCCATCTCCTGTTCTCGCTGCATCATCCGCTCGAAGCATACGGCGGCAAAGGCGGCCGTGTTGTCGGTGCCTACATTGCGCAAGATGGTCTCTGCGGCAGTGCTCCGCTTCTCTGTCCTCACGCACTTCTGCTTCTTAAAAAAGGCTTTCAGCACGAACCGCGGGAACAAAAGACCAAATGACTGTCTGCGTCCGAGGGTCGGATACTCCAATGTCCGGAGCGATTGACAGGTCTTGTGGAGATTGACATGGCATTTTATCTCCCAGCCATCAGCAGTCAGTGACCCCTGCGCCGGCCTAGCTGGATCGTAGCCAGATCCGGTAGCTTTTGGTTTTACACCCTCGTGCGTTGCTGCCTCGATGGCCTCTTTGGGGAAATCGCTGACAGGTGGTGGCTCGGCGAGGAGGAGAGAAGCCGGCTCGGCCTCTTCCTTCGCATGCCGGATCGCACTCTTTTCAGGCACCTCGACGGGCAGAGGCTCCGAAGGCGGGTCGCTAACCGTCGCGGCTGCAGCTGTGGCAGTGGCGCACTCGGAGAGGGCATTTCGGATGAAATCACTAGCCACGTCTAAGTCGCCGCAGCGTGCGGCCTCGCTCACCAACTTCAAATCTGCAGAGGGGAAAAGAGCGAGCAGCGCAAACCGGAGCTCCTTGTTCGCCAAGTTCGCAAGGCTAGGCATGGCTCCTACGACATATCTGCTCGGCCTCAAGGGATCATCTTCGTGTTTCTGGGTTTGAGGCTGGGCAAAGTTTTTGCTCTAGGGAAAGCCAACCTGGAAGTGTCTGCCATCGCTGGTTCGGGCACAGCTGCTGAGGCATAGAGATGTGCATATGACCGCTTCCCATTTGCAGAATCACGGCAGTCGGGATGAACCCGAGAATCTGAGCCTCAAGTGGGAGGCAGACGCCATGTAATGCAGGCGAGCTGCTCCGACCATGACATCCTCTGACGGCGGGTGACATGCGCAAGTGTCGAGGCGAAATCTCGGACTCTAGCTTAACAAAAGACCTTCTTGTGGCAAGCGAACGGTAGTATAGCCAGGTACGGTGTGTTGACTCAGGATGGTGTAGCAGGGCATAATCTGAGCACATACGTGATAGAGTTAGTTTCCAGCCTCAGCACATGGCATTCCAGGGGTCCCACTCAGAACCGAAACTCTGAACCCCCTCCAGAACCTCCAGGGGTGCCAGCAGCACCGCGCCATCCGCAGGACTCTCGGATGGGCCCGTGCCTGGCGATGATGATGAGACGAAGAGCGTCCAAGAAAACCATGCATCCATGCATGCATGCGAATTCTAAATATCTATATAGATTGTGATAAAGACATGTATTTACATATGCATGTGCATTTGTATTTATGTTTATTTGTATGTTTACTTACATCTCTGCTTTCTTACGTGTCTGGTTTTGTTCGTTCATTTGCATCTAATCGTGCAATTTGTCTCTTTCTCTATCTTTGAAGAATCTGCCAGTCTTTCCGCTTGTGTGTATGCATGTACATATAGTTCCATATGTACATAAGCACATATGCATGTACATATACACTTGCTTACATATACGCGTAATTCCCTTTTACATTACAGACACAGGCACAAACACATACATACATGTATACATTTTCATTTCATGTATAGATACGTACATACATGCATGCATGCATGCATACGTACGTACGTACGTACGTACGTACGTACGCACATACATACATACTTACATACATACATACATACAGACAGACAGACAGACATACATACATACATGTGCGGATGTACGTTTGTGTGTATACATCTAACTACATATACACATGCAAAAAAAATACATGCCTACTTAACTTATCTGCATATATCTATTCCAAGCATCTACAAATAGCAAACACACAAAAGCTTCCTGCCCCATCTCTATAGTTCGGATTCGATGACAAGGAAGCACTCGCCTCGCAGCCTCTCTGCCGCGGCCCGGGTGAACTCAGAGACCTCGGCTCGAAGTTGAAAAAGGGTTTTAGGGCCAGGGCTGATGGCAGAGGGCCTAAAGCTCTCATGTTTCCGGGCTTAGGGTTTTCAGGGTCTAGAACCCAGGGTCTCAGGCGAGGTTCTGGGTTATCATGCACGGGCATACGAACTTCTGGCTTACTTTCTGGACCTTGGAGGCTTTTGGGTTCATCGCTCGCACTCGCACAGTCACAAAATGTTCCTCATCTCATCAGTTTAGCACTCAGAACTCACATCCAACCCTACAAAGCGAAAGTGGACATCGTAACCAGTACGACACCGTACGAATATCTGCCGGTGTTGGGATCTACAATCTACCCACTTGCCTAGCCCTGCTTTTGAAGTGACAATGACGAACCATGAACAACCGTAGTTTTCTGTGGGTATGTACCAACAAGATCCAGCAAGGACCTGGGCATCTGCGAGAGGCCGTATTGCATCGGGCTGTGCATGTTGTCATTGGGTTGGTGCGAGCTCACACATGGTTCGTGGTTTTTGCGGTTGTTCGCAGTTCTCTGCAGCCTGAACAAACAAGCCAATCAAAGGTGTGCGGCACTTTTTGGGCACCTGCGAGAACAGATCTCGTGATGAAACAGTTCTAGAATCTAGAAACTTGCGACAGCTAGGAGCTCGCCGCTGACCTCAGTCGCCGATGATTCATGCCGACTTCTGCAAAATGAAGACCTCTGAGGGATACCTGAGAGCGCGAAGAATGAATAGAGTCTCGGGCCTCCGAACAACGAGATGAAACAAAATGGAGGTCGAAATACACTCACCCGACCAAAACAAAGTTTCGTGACAGCATCAGCAGCAAAAAAATGGCTCGGCAAGCATTTGCAATTCCAAGAAAGATAGCTTCTGTTTAGGCATTGTCGTGGCGAGTTTGCAGCAGAGAACTTATGGCCTGATCCCTTTTGTGGGAGACTTGGAGAGTCCCGCCTTTTTCGTGATGTTATGTTTGGGCAGCCACGAAGATGACGACTAGTTGGTCTTTTGTCACACTGGGCTGATAGGTTGGTCTACGTTACACCTCTACAAGGTGCTGACGAGGCTTCAGACAGGTATTGAGGCGGTTGGAAAGCCAGGCTCCTTGGGGACCTTGTCCAGCAACATTTTTCTACAACAAGGTGCCAACAAAATCTGTATGCACAAGTTGACGATGGAATATTTGGGCACACAAACACACACAGACACAAACACACAGACACACACACAACGAGAGCGAGAGAGAAGGGGTTATGAGGAAGACTAGGGCAGAGAGAGAGAGAGGTCGGATGCACATACCCAAAACGGCATGCTCTGCCTACTTTATCGTGAGGCGGACAACACAGGCTGCCAGACATGGCGGCTACGAGAACAAGGTGCTCTTCGTACTGATGCTTGACAACGAACTTGTCCACGACCTCGCTCGGTTGACTTCAATAGCGAACGACTAACGGCAGAGCCGATCTGAAGCCTTTCTGCAGGCGTTGTCAACGCTTAGCAGCAGCACCACAAACTGCCGATGGATGGGCAGTAAGGGAAGGGGGAAGGAGGAAGGAGGGAGAATGGTACTGAAGACTCTTTGTTGCTTTGCGCCAGCCGCAGCTTTCGCCTGATACACTGCCAATACCCGCAGAAAGCCTCAAAAAAGACCGTTGTTTCACACATCTCGCCTGCAGCCCATCGGCCAGCGGTAGCGATGCTGAGGCCAAGAGAGCACCGGGTGCCATCTCGAGGGAAAGCCTGCAAACGCCACCAAAACGACGATAGCAGATCACGGACCAACAATCGTCTGCGGGACACATCACGGAGTACCACTCAATTCCCTCGTCGGTTGGCGTGCAACCCCTGCACTATCATCAGTTTCGTGTTTGGGCTTTCGCCTCTTCCCAACGTTGGGCGACAGGTCCGCATCCGAAGTTTCTGGGTCTTTGGGACCCTCCAGGCAACCCAAGGTTCCACGCACAGTTGTGAGATGCCGTGATCCTTGCCAAGACAGCCCCCGCGATTCAGGTGAAGTTCCCATTCGCGCTTTCTTTGTAAGCCCTACTGCATCCTTCCCGTTGGCCGCTGTGCGGAGGTGGTCCGACTTCGCACCAGACCCTGACATTGAGGCCCAAAGCTCAGGTCTGCATGAAAATACCGCACTACTAGCTGTTCAGAAGGAAACGTGTTTGGTGATTTTGGTGAGACCACAGATGTGTGGAGCACTGTGTGGCAAACCATGCAGCTAGTCTGGCAGTACAGTGTGGCATACCTGTTGTACTTGCAATGCTTACATGCACTCCAAACACGCACGGTATGCTAACTAGGCCTTCTGTTTTGCCATCGTCTGTCGCAAAGATCCTTGCATGTATCGCGACCGGATCGTCTGCACTGGCTCATTATGTTAAGCCCCGAAATTCCTAAAACACAGACTTGACAGACTTCAGTACTTGAAGTCGGCACCTGCCAGCACCCGCAGATCCCCAAAGCCCTGCCTCCGGTGCAAGGAGCGGCGACAGTCCAGATCACAGGCCGGCCCCTAAGAGACATGTCCTATGTTGCATATATCTATGACCCGTATTGTTGTGTGTGTTCAGTTGCGTATTTATGCAAATGCGAAATTTACATCTATGTCTAACCTTCTATACTGCCAACACACATTGCCTGTCTGATGCATGTATGTAGTGTAACTGGATGGATGGATGGATGGATGGATGGATGGATGGATGGATGGATGGATGGATGGATGGATGGATGGATGGATGGATGGATGGATGGATGGATGGATGGATGCTTTGCTACTGGCAGTTTATGTTTGTGACTACCCTTTTTTGCGGGGTCGAACTTGTCTGTTGTCAAAGTGACTGAGTGCTCACGCTAGCTTCAAGTCAGAGAAGAAGTCATGAGCACTCACCATGTGCTCGTAGTTGAACAAGCCAGGAGGGGCCCACTTCCAAACCTCAGGCATTGAGCCTGTCACCCAAACTCAACCCCTCAACCTCGACAGGTCATTGGAGACGCATCCACCAAAAAACGGCAGCCGCTGGCCGAGCCTGTGGTATTCGAACAAGAGACGCCTCGCCAAAGCTTTCAAGACGCCTCATGTCCAAAGCTGCGGACTTTGTGCGTTTTTAGTTTTAGCTGTTCGGGCGCGAGGAGTTTATTCAAAGCATTAACTCCTGTGCAAAAGTTTACAGCTACACTCCGTTGTGGAGGCAGAGCATTTTGGAAGTGGACCTGTAAGCTCTCTAATTTTGTGAGCTCAACATCCGACCAATCTGCGAAACCCCCAAGCCGAGGAAAGTGCCAAAAACCTATCGGACCCCTCTGAAATCCGTGCTTGACTCCCGAACCCATGTAGCCTCCTAAAGGTTTGGGGGTGGCTTCCTCTGCGCCCTCTCTCTAGCATCCAAAGCAGCTTCTCAAATCCGTTCGTGAACACCTAGAACACACTTGTATCACCGTATAAGACATGCCTGACTGAAACCCATACGAAGCTACGAAACCCTCCCTCCGAGTAGCTGAGTGCGGAGCTTGACATCCGCGCATCGGTACTCCATGCGCTCAGCGTAGCCGTGGCGCTCCTGAGAAGCCGGGTTTTCTGTACTACGAACGAAGCGGCCTGCTGAGTGCGTTTTCGCCTTTGCTTATTCATGCTCGAAGTGATCGCTCTCCAGTGACTCATTCAAGTTTATGTCGCTTGCGACATGTCGCGAAACAGCATCCAAGAACTTCACGGCTTCAGAGATGCAGAACCAAAGTCCAAGGCGCCGCGATTTCTTTGGCGGATGCCTTTGGGATGGGTTCGAGGCTCCGGAACAATCCAGTTTTGGAGAAAGTGGGTGGTAAGAGTTGGGCCAGGTTACTCGCGAGTCGAGTGCGGGGTTCAGGTCCTGGCAGCTCCCATATCAAGCCGTTATAAGCCGTTCATGCAATCGGTTGGTGAGATGTGTTTTGCCCTCGACCTGAAGTCCCGCGCACCAACTTCCGCTGCTGCGGAGTCTCCGAGACCTCCCGACCCTATCGCAAACCTAAACAAACCTGTCGCCATCGTGTCGTTAAAACTGTAGGTCCAGCACAACTTACCCTGTAGAGGCTCCGTGCACTTGACCTTAAAACCCCAAACAGTTAGAATCCCAAACGCGAAGTCCGAAGCCCGTACTCTCCACCATGCCGCCACCATGGACTCGCACAGGATGTCGAAGAGCAGGCAGCGGGAAAATCCGAAAGCCAGTGCGAAGATGCAATCCTTCACAGGATTACGAGTTCCAGCTCGGGACAGGTCGGAAACCTGCTGAGTTCCAAGGTCTAAGCACTAGACCCTCGATATCCTCCCAGGTTTGAACCTCGCACTCTTCCTGACCGTAATCCCTAATCACCACAACTTACTTCCCCAACAAGCCCGGAAAAAAATTGGCTAAAACTTTCAACGTTTACTACACTGTACTAAAAGAGCCCAAAAAGTTTACAGGTTGGGTAATGGAGAAAACTGAAGCCCCAATGGCAGTCTAAAAACCCCTAAATCTTGCGTCCAAAAGCCGCCCCAATCCAGCCTCGCCCAGACCCGAGCCCAGCGTCAGCAGCACTCCGCCGCGCGCGGCACGGAGGGCCGGGCGCTGAGCCATGGCCTCAGCGTCGCGGGGCAGGACACCTTTCTGTGTTATTTTCGGCCGTTGGGCGTTTGGGTATTTAGGGTTTAGGGTTTAGGGGGGTTTTCAGGGCCTCCAAGCGTGGCCCTTCTGGGGTTTGCTGTGAAAAGCAGACTGCGCTCTCGCTTGTAGGGGCATGTAGCTTGCAGCTTCCCCCCTGGAGGTTGCTGAAGAAGTTGCTCACGCCAGTGTGGAAGCTTGCTGCGGAAGCCCATTGCGTCCTCTTCCATGCAACCCAAGAAATGGCCTGCTCTGCACATTTCGATTCTTGTCAGCGGGCAAACTTGGGAGTCCTTTGCTTCCTTCAGCTGTTTCAGGAGCGGATATCCAGCGGCGATGCTGGCCAGAAGGACCCGTTGTCAACACTGGGATTGATGGAACGGCGGTGGAGGTTAGGTGTCAAGCAGCTCTTCCGGAACCTTGTCTCTCATTCGGGGACCTTGGACCCTCCCTGGGCACTTGTGCTCCTACTTTGCAGCCGCATTCGCGGTAGGTGTCCTGCGCACAGAGATCGTACGAACTCTTCCCAAGCCCCTTCAAACTCGATGGCCCCGATATCCAAGCAAGGCACTTGCCATTCATCGAAAGTCAACCGCGTGTAGGGGCAGGACCTCGGCTGATCTTGCGGCAAAAGCGTTATCATCCCCAGGGCTCACTTGTTCCTGCAAGAACACCTTACTCCTGAGACCCCACCGCCGGAAACGCAACCTGAGGCCAAGCAAGCTGCCCAGCACAAACGTCCGTGCGCTCGGAAGCCCAGCGAAGAAGCCACGCCTCGAGGTACAAAGTCCCTCAACGTCCCTCATGGCACTTACACGCATTCTGTCTGTCTGCCTGCCTGTCTGTCTGCACAGGGCATTCTCCGCTTGTATGCCTTGTAGCGTTGGATCTAACCGAATCTAACCCATAAGATTTGTTCCTTGGCTCTTCGCTGCTTGCTTTCCAGGTTTGCTACCTGGACCCGTGCAGAATATGCATGTCCTGGAACTGCGACCAACACTGCTAGGCTTCTATGCACTGCCGAAGAAAATTGGCTGTCCTACTGCACATGCAAGTGTCGTTCATCCAATGGAAGTTCCTTGGCCCAGGCACCGGGTCGTTCTCCAGCTGCCGAAGGTCCGCCAGTGCGGCAGACAGAGAAGCGGCCAAGGTCGGGGCCTCTAGCTATATCTCGGAATTTCTCAAACTTTCACTGGACTAGACCATGGTCTTTGATCATGTTGCTACTCCTGCAGCAAACAGCGTGCTTGGCAAAGCTGTCTGTCGAGATGGTTGCTGTTATTCCCTCAACTTGAATCATACCCTAAACCTCCCAGCCCTCAAGTCCCGAAATGCTCAACCCCAAACCCGAAACCTCTAACACCACCCCCAAACTGCCAAGCTCAAAACCCTGCCTACATTTTCGAAGCTCATGGGAGAGTAATAGCATGCCCCAAAGTCCTGTTCCGATGAGTCAGGCCCAAATACAATCGTACAAAACGGTTTGGAATCAAGGCTTTACACAACGCCTGATAAGCCTGCACTAGAACCCTATTCAAACTATTCAGGCCCCCATACTACACCCAATACCCTAAAGCCTTAGTCCCTTAAACCCAAAAACCCTAAACCCTGAACCTTGCAAACTCTAAACCTTCCCTACACCCCGTGCCTCGGCAGCCAGCGTCGCTCGGAAGGCTGCAGCCTCCTGGGCTCGGAAGCGGCGATAGGCCTCCTGCAAGGCATACGGTTATGTAGGGTCTTACAGGTTCTAGGGGACTTGGAGTTATCAGTCACTCTCTCCCTCTCTCTCTCGCTCTATCTCTCTCCGGGTTTGGCAGATTTAATCCTTCGACTCTTCTGCCTCGCAGCTCAAGGGCTCAAATCTAACACAACTGCATGAAAGGCTGGCGCTGCAGGGAATGGCCTGTGACATCTGAGCCGGCGTGAACTGACCAACCCTCTTCATGACTTCCGTACTTACTGCTAGTAACTAGTAACTAGTATAAACACGTATCAACTCCATGTGCATATGTGTCATGTAAAGGAAAAGGGAAGAGCTGAACTCAGGAAAACCATGGGAGTCGTTGCGCAGGCTCGGGCTGGACACTCGCAGGATTGTGGGGCTCCGCAGTACGGGCTTCACAGGGCAGGGCTCTTTCAGAGCTGCGAATCCGAAGACCGCCTTGCTCTTTATCTCGGCGTTCCCTGGTGGTTCCGCCTCGCCCTCCACCACGGGCACCAAAAAGCTCGCGGGTGACAATCCCTGCCTGGCACGCTGCGCTTCAGGCGTAGTTCTTAGCATCTGTCAGGCTTTTGCCTCAGGCCAAGGGCTTTGAAAGTTGGGAGCTGCGGTTGTTGTAACGGACATGCCCCAAGCCCAATGAGGAAAAGCATAGGAAAAGCCATGCTACTGCAAACCAACTTCTGCATCCCAGAGGCTCCGAGTGCAATTCTAGGGCTCTGCCCCAGCTTGCACGTGCTTCAGCCTGTTCATGTGCGATATACTTAACAGAGAGAGAGAGAGGGAGACAGGCAAACAAACACAAGAAGTGAGCGAGCGAGGGAACGAGGCAGCGAGTTTGAGGGCTGTCTGCTACATGTGTTCGATGGCGAAGAAAACACTGAAGGTTGTGGTTTTGTAATACCTTTAAAATTTGGGGATTTCTCGAAGGCTTCGGAGATTTGGGGGCCCGCGAGGCCGGTCGAGGCTCCGCTACAAGTTCTGAGCTTAGGCTCTGCATCATTCATCGAATGCTGGCTTTGAGCAGCTCAGTTCGCCGAAGACACCATCACCTCTAAATAATCTTCGCTTCAGGCTGTGGTGGTGGCAGCGGTGGCGGTGGCAAGGACGGCAGGAAGGCGGCCTGTCGCCCGAGCATCCAGAGAGTGGTGCCAAGGTCCTGAGGCCACTTTCAAATCTGTCGTCTACTACCGACAGCAATACGAACCGACAAAGCAAAACAGCCTGTTGCACTGTAATTACTGTAGTGGAAACAAGGGCTTCCGAACAATTCCTGCTGCCCGATGTGAGGGCCAGTTCTCGATTTGTGTTTGGGGTTGAGGCACAACGGCGCGGAGCCTAAAGCCTAAAGATTCTGGAAGACCACAAGCGAGGGCTTTGTGAGTTTAAGCACCGGAGACATGTCGTTTGATCAATCCCTGATCGCCTGTGCTCTTGGGCGCGAAGTAGAGATGTCAACAGAACAGGCTCCGAACCTATGTAGCTGCACGACGTGTCTCGCCAAGAAACCCCAGAAAAAGCCAAGCGTTAGAGTGGTGGACCCTGGAGCTTCGACAGCACCACCGGCTGAGATCGTCCAAAACTCGTCAAAACTAGAAGTCTCAACCTTTTTGCTGCAGGCTTGCAAGCAAGAACGCCTCGTAGGTAGAAGTCCCATTGGAGTCCAAGATCAAACTCTCCCAATCTTACCCTCCCAGGTCACCCAAAACAGCAACCCTAAACCCTAAACCCTAAATCCTAACCCGCAACCCTAAACCAGAAACCCCAAACCCTAAACCCTAAACCCCTAATCCATATAACCCGCACGGCCAGGGAGCCGCCGCTGCGCCGCGGCGCCCTGTCGCTGCCCTCAGACTGGACTCGGCTTCTTGAAGACCTCAGAAGCGTTTAGGGTTTGGGTTTAGGGTTTGGGTTTTGGGTTTAGGGTTTAAGGTTTAGGGTTTAGGGTTTGGGGTTGGGGGTTTGGGGTTTCGGGTTTCGACTCTCACTCTAGCACCAGGCAGGCAAGGCTGTTTCGGGTTTAGGGTTTCGGGTTTCGGGTTTAGGGTTGAAGACCTCAGAGATTGGCCGATCTCATGCCAGGCGAGGTGCTTGGTGCTTGGTTGGAGGTGGGACCCTACGTTTGAGTTTGGTCCGCTCTATGCTTCTTCGAACTTCTAACAAATTGGCAGTAAGGGATTAGGGATCCGCCTTTGCGGAAACATGTGCCTTTTGGCCGCTCGTCTAGCTAGGACATGCCCGCATTGCAAGGCCAGAAGACAGAGACAGTGATAGAAACTCGGCATCCTGCTGCTGTCAAAAACTAGAATAGCAGAAAAACTGCAAATCATCCTCAGCGGAAGGCTGCGCTGCCCGAATCCTCAAATGCAGCATCCACAAAACCTACAAGTGGTGCCGGCACGATGGACACAAGGTTTACAACACGATGAGAAGGTCTTTCCGCGCACCCTTTCGCACAGGCTCTTGCACCCAATTAGGTCACTCACTCTCACTGATCAGGCCTTCTTCTGAAAGGTTCTCAGAGCAGGCACCGCTCACCACTCATACTCACTTGGCCGTGCACACACTGGAGCGTGTGAGCAGAAATGCTGTCAACCAGCCCAATTCACAGCCAGACGCCCCAGTATATGCATATCTTGAGATTCAGGATTCCTAGTGTTTGGAGGCCTTCTGGAGAGTGCATTCTTTAGTTACTGTCAGAGTAGAGGTGCTCACGAGGGGCGGCGCATGCAACTCCAGTCCGTACCCAGGCAACCTGACCCTGTGCCGTGCAGCTGGGCGGCGCTGTCTTCGAAGAAGAAAATCTGGGAGCACCATGCTGGTCAGACACTAGAGCCCCGCTAAGAGCAGATTCACACAGCATCCTCGAGTAGATGTGAGTGCTGAGTCAAAACAAGCTGGCTTCCAAGACTGCTTCCGACGCGTCACGACCCAAAGCTGCAGCCCCTGCAGTGCTGCCGTCAAGGCGCAGCTGCACTTCGGCCTGGCACGGACAGTGCAATAACCTGGTTCTTCAACCCAGAGCGTGGTCATGCAGCTGTACATGCGACAGTTTCAAGCTTATTGCTACTAGTAGGCCGCTGGTCTCTGAGGTTCCGTTAGAGCGGCATGGAGAAGACTATAGGTCTTGTGAGGTTCAGGACTCGGACTACCTCTCGCCTTCGGTTCAATTCACGGCCCCTGCGCGGGAGCTAACCGTTTGTGGACCGTGATGAACACGGAGTACACTGAGCACACTGACGCCTTCGTGAAGTCGACTTCGCTGCATGTGCATGAAGGGTCGATTTCAGAACTTTGGTCTGCAACATTGGACTAGGTATTAGCCGGTGTAGTGTCCGTGGATTTGAGCGCCTGGAGGTTCTTCCAAGCCTTTGCTTCACTGGCTCCGATGAGGTATACCCACACCTCCTTTTTAGCCGAAGTTGTGGTTGAGCGTTTGGGTGTGTGAAACAGAAGTCAGTAGTTGCGGCGGCTCCAAATGCATCGCTTCAAATCTTCGTTGGCTTTGAGAAAGCCTGCCTTTGCTGCTCTGCTTCTGCATCGCTTCGTCTGGGAGCTTCATCCACTTGTCACAGGAGCTCAGCAAACCTCAAGAACTCAAAGGCTGGGCCTCGCTCCAGCGGCCGGTCTTGTCCAGAAGCTCGCGGTACCTTTGAGCGTTTCAGACTCGGTTCCTTCAGAACGATTCTTTTTCTCGCATCTGCCTGACAGCTGCTGCTGCCATCCGCATCGAAATCCTTCTCTGTAGTCGTTCCGGCTACGCGTTCCGCACACTCCCCACCCCAAGATGTGCCTTCTGGTCCGAGGCCATTGGCACAAGAAAGACCCCGCCGAGTTGCTGATGTCAATGTCTTACCTTCAACATCCTTTAACACTAGAGATATGGCACTGCCGCTGCTGAGTTGATAATGATAAATAGACCTCCGAACACAAGTCTTGAATCCTCTGTTCGCCTGGGCACGACAACCCTCCCAACGTGCTTCATCAAGCCTGCGAAGCCATATACTGCCGAGATCACACGACCAAAGCTGCAGCGAAGCCGCAAATCAAAATCCGGAAAAAACAACCTTCTGCAACCCTAAACCCCAAACTCTAAACCTCAAACCCTTGTACGGGAAATGTGTGGCAACATGTGGTTTCTAGAAATCCTTGAGGAAGCCCCTGTTTCAATCGAGGCGCAGCTCACCGCTGGCATCTGCTGGATCCCGTTCTTCGGAGCCTCTCATGAAGCAACGGTTTCGGATGTGGGGATACAAGGGTCCGGCACTTTCACTCGCACTGCCCAGGAGTAAAGGGCCCGGAGCTTCGGGTCAAGGATTTGGCTTCTCCTGATCTTCTACTTGTTCTTTTGTGTGTTTTGCACTTCCTGGGTCGCAGGATTTGCATCTCTCTCTCTCTCTCTCTCTCACTCTCTCTCTCTCTCTCTCTCTCTGCTGTGCCACTGTTCAGGCTCCTTTCGGTGTCTTTGGGGTATGACGCCCTGAAGCTGCAGAGCCACCTGCAGGAGTAGGGCATCAACATAATAAGACTGGTGGGGGACTTGCAGAAAGATCACCACAATCTACTGTGAGCTCAGTTCTGCACTCAGGAAACGTATCTTTTTTGGGCCGCGGGTTCTTTCGTTCACTCTGCTTTGAGTCTCGCAGCCATGCAACCTCGTGCAGGACTACTGGACTGATCTTTCGAGGGGTACTTTCAATGGATGGAAGGTCCAGCTCTTGGCTTCATGTGTTGGAGTTCTGGGTGGTTCAGGTTCGGTGTTGCAATGTACCATACCCATAAAGACGAATCCCTCGCACCCTACCACTTCAAGCCAAACTCTAGGACAGATCGGAGAAAGTGCTCAGTTTCCTTACTCGCGTCTTCGCATCAACAAACACTTTCAGGCCTGCAATCAGCGGCTCCAACACCTTCCGATGGCTTTCGGTTCGGGGTTGCACAAAAGCCTGGTAGTGAGCTCATGGCACCCCCGTGGTTCGGAAAGCCATTCCGACGCGTGCGGACGTCTACACACCAAGTCGGATCTTTGAGGATGTTCACTCAACTCCAAGCTCCCAGACTTCTGCGATGTGCGAGCCCGGTGCAACACGGAATCGAGTCTCACCTCCATAGCTTCGTGGTATCGAAGCCTCCGCTGCAGTAGGACCTAGGATCTCCCACGAAGAGCCCCGGCTCCACCACTTGAACCTACAACGCAGGATCTGCTTTACAAACCTTGCACATTTGCATTCCCACCCTCCGCCGGCCAAGACACCCTGCATCCAGATGGATCCCCATCATCTAAGCCCAAGGTAAACCCTAAACCTGACAAGCTTTTGTTCTGCTAGCATCTCTTATCCTCAGGCGAAAGCCAAATCGATCGAAACATTGAGGAGTGCCTGGGGGGTTGAACAAGCAGTTCAAATTCTAAACCTTCCAGACTTCAACTTGTCAAAACCCTACTCCAATTTCCCAAGTCACGGCGAGGTTGTGCCTCGCCTCTTCCAACATTGGATGTGCCTGGCTCGGCAAAGTCCCTGTAGGACTCTAACACAAGGACCCAAGCGTTTCTCACCTGTCGGGTTTAGCTTGAAGCTTGCGACCCTCATGCTACACTGAGCAAAATTCCAGGGGGTAGAGAATATCTTTCTCATTTTCTCTTTCTTTCGCGAGGGTTGTGGTGAGGGGGCATGAGAATCTCTCTCTCTCTCTCTCTATCTATCTCGCCCGTGCCATCCTCGGGGTACGGGTTAAGTTTGGAAACTTCTCTTAGCTTGTTTTCCTGCTTCTTCTGCTTCTTCGTCTTCAGCACAGTAAAAAGGCAGTCTCTATCTGTCTCGGCCAGTCTATTGAATCTATCGGCCCCCCCCCTTGCGGAATTAGAAGGCGTTAGCATGAGAAGCACCCATAAAGATCCGGCCTTCAGGACTTCCCGGAAGCCTCGGCAACGTAAAGTGGCTTTAAATTTTGGGCGTCTCGGGCTTGTCAATGCCGAGCTCTCGAGCTGGGGGTTTGGGATGGACAATACAATAGCTACATCACCATCGTGGTCATAGCAATCATAATCAAGCATCAGTCAAGAGTACCCGAGCCGCACATCGACAATAATACGATCCGGAAAGCTTGCCGAGATGTGCTGCGAACCCAAGGAGAGGAGCGGTTCCTCATGCAGCCAGGACTCTGTGCTCTGCTTCCTGCACTTGCATGCGAGAGGGTCGCACGTCATGCAGGGTCGTGCAGGATTGAGGTGTTAAGAGCCTTCGCTCTTCGAACGATAGTATGTCAATCTGTGCGGTGTCGCCTCGCCGCCAAACGGCTCTTCGGGCAGAAGAGCCTAATGGCTCATCCGTCAAATCTGGTGTGTGACTGCTCTTCTACCTACAAGGCCTCAGGTCTCCCGAGTCCTTTGCACTGTTCTCTGTTGACCTCTGCCCTCACCAGGGCCTGCATGGCACCGCGCTCGTAGAGAAGCGCGCCTTCACGGCTGGTTGGCAGAGAAATGCATGGCACTGCCACCCTCTTGACATTACAGTCTCGAACCAGGCATTCTTCAAACCAAGAAGCCTCAACTGCAACAGGCAAAGGCACGAGAAAGCGTGAGTTGCCAACGAATGCATGCAGTCAGCAGACGAAGCAAACAGCCCTGTGATGTCAGTGCCGGACCGAGATCCAGATGCGCTGCCGGCTCGCCGGGCACCAGGCTCAGGGCACTGCGGAAGCCTCAGACTTTGATTATCTCTGGGGCAAAACGGCTAAACTATATGATGCTACATCCGAGCGCAACCAAAACTCTATCGGAACGAGGCATCCTTGAACCTCCGCCAAGGAAGGCCGAAGGATCCAATCCATCTCCGAGAGAAAAAAGAAAGTCTGCAAACAGACCCCAGGCTCTGCTCAAGCAGCCCCTGAAGGCCCAAACCAACTCATGATACAAACCCTACCAGCCTCAAGCCCTCTTGCAAAGTGCTCTCAAAACCTGGCCTCGCCTAAACTCTACCAGCAGCCGTTGACTCTTGCAAATTCCCCAAGGCCCCCCGACACCCTGAAGTTGCCGAAAGCCCCCCAAAGCCCCTCCCCAGCTTGGCGAGCTGCTGCTTTCAGCCTCCGACGCCCGGGCTTGTGCCAGAAGTGCCTGGCCCAGCTGCACCCAAGCGGCGGACCTGAGATGAGGGGCTGCTCCCAACAAGTAGGAGTTGTAATCTTGCTGTTTGCCCTGGGTCTTTTAGAATCAGGTTGGGGATCTTCTCAAGTCCCACCGTTCAATCCTCTTCTCATTTGGTTTTCTTGTCATGGCAGCCAGAGACGTAAGGAAAAACACTTTCCAGCATTCAAAACAGGCAGGGCGAGCTGACGGAGAGGCTGAGCAATGGCTGAGCAAGTACAGCTTACCACAGTGTTGTCGGAGTGACGGCTTCCAAACTTCTAAAGACATGCTCGTGCAAGACATGCAAAACTCTCACAACATCCCAATCCGACTGCCAAGGGTCTTCTGTGGATTCTTTGCCACTGCCGCTCGAAAGCCTGAGGAAGCATTGGCATTCTGTTTGTGATCAGACGCATGCTTGCTACGCCGAAGTACACGGGAGGGAAGACCCTTAACCGAGAACCCTCCAACGAGTTCCGGCTTGCCCTTCCTGCTCCGCAGGTATCAGTCAAGGGCTGGAATTGACAGAAGCAAGTGCACACGAGGCGAAGAGTGCTGAGGGGCTTCAGAAACAACAGCCTCGAGTCGTTTGGATGTGCGCTTCGCGCAAAACCCTGAAAATACATCATCTCCCCAATGTTTCAAAAGCACTCCCCCAAGCACTGCGTGGCTTGCCATGTTCCAGACAAACGCAGCTTGGCCACGGAACTCCTCGCTGTCTGGCTCGTCTGGAAGGCCTTTGGTTCTCACCTTGGTGTCTCGAACTTGGGGTGCCAAGGCAAACAGGTAGCCGTTGGAGTTGCAGGGCTGTGTCATGCAGGGCCCATACAGCTGTATGGCACAAGGCGACAGGCTGTGAGACTGAAATGAGTTCAACCAAGCAGGCCAGCCAGCAAGGAAGTAAGAATGCAAGCACGTACGCATGCATGCATGTGAACTCACATCTATGTATGTGAAGGCCTGTCGAGGCTAGTCAAGCACGATTCTGCATAAACATGGAAGTTTCCATATATTACATGTATTGCGGGGTCGGCCTGGAACCAGTAGACTACTACAAGAACCTCTGCACCAGTAGGAAACAGTAATAATAAACGGAATACAGAAGAGCGGAGAGCAAAAAGGGAGAGCGAAGAGAGAGCACTATGTGTGTGTGAGCATTTTTGAAGTATGCCGGCAAACAACTGAATGATTGCCTTGTCATGAATTGTGTTGCCCGTCGCCGTGCATTTGTATGTGTTAAGAAATGCACGCATAGAAAACATCCTTACCATCTGACGCATTTGGAGGGAACATCAAGCCTCAGGCCATGCTGGAGACAATTCCTGCTCGGAGAAAGTGGTGGCCTTAGGCCTTACCCTGCCCACCCCAAGCCAGTGCGGCAGAGCACGCCCTTGGCTTGGCATCTTCCAGCTCCTTCGCTTGGCCGTGAGGATTTTGCCGGTTTGGGATCCGTTGCGACTTCGTGACGGTTTGATTCGTTTCTGAAAGCTCTCGCTCACTCCCTTTGTCGCCGCTTTCTCGTGTGGCCGAGAAGTGAAGGACAATGTTCTCCTTTCTCTGGGGTCGAAGCTTCGGCAGGACCCCTGTTGCTCCAGGGTCGCTGAAAGAGCTGTCCTGCTTGCTGGCTTCCGAGCAAGGGCGCGAATGACACCGCTGGGACTTTCCCCCGCAGTACACCTTTACACCCACATCCTATCCTCGCCTTTAACCCGAACCAAGCCGAACCTTGCACGACACTGCCTACCTGCCTGCCTGAAACCCCCGCCCCGAAGCCTGGGTGTCACCGGGTGGCCTCGTTGTTACACACCAGAATGTTCACACCGGGAAGCATGTCACGACAGAACTTTGCTTTGCTCGGGGTAGGAGTTAGGGGTCCCCCCCAACTCGCGCCGGAGCGCGTCCCCACCCATCCTGTTCTATGCGTTTGTTGGAAGGGTTGACCGCCGCGCGTGGTGAAAAGGCCTCCGTGGGGGCAGGTTTTTGAGAGCCCCTCACAGGTGCAACTGGAGACCCCCCTCTCAGCACAAGACAACGAGTTCCTAAGTCCAGGCCCTAGGTTCAGTTGATCTCTCTCTCTCTCTCGCTCTCTCTCTCGCTCCCTGTCGCACGCGAACGCGCACCTGCATTTTCTTGCCGGGGCTCTCGCGGGCTCTCTTTCCCTCTGTCTCTGCCTGTCTGCCTAGTCTTGTCTGTCTTCCTTCTCGTCTGTCCGTCTCTCACTCTCGTTCTCCGCCTGCTTTCCGCAGCGTTCTGATGGTCTTTGGATCTCTACAACTGCCGTCAGCGTCGAGAAGCATGAGATGCCCCTGCCATAACCTCCTTTCACGAATCACAGATGACAGATGTCGGGGAGGTGCCGGCAAGGCATCGGGCCTTTTCTTCAAGGTAGTACAGGGTCTTTGTGTCTGTATCGGCCATTCGGCCTCTGGGGAACTGTGCGAAACGTAAGCAGTGGCTTCCCAAGTTGTAAATCTAAAGTGCAACCCCAACCGAGTGCATCAAGCAAACTCTTCCACATGCAACCCACATGTATGCGGCAGAAAAATTCACTCTTGGGAAATCCATGAGACTGTCTAAAACAGCTGCGGCCTGACGGCGCATGGCCGTGCTGGCGAAAACCTGACCTGCTACAGGCGACACCTCTTCGCTGCATCCAAAGCAAGTCGCACACGATGGGTCCGACATGCAGCGAAGTCTGAAGTCAAATTCCTGCACACTGTACAAATCAATCTGCCACGTACCGGACATGCATCGCCGTGGTGTCGCAGGACGAATGGCCCCGGTCACTGACCATCCACATCGATGACATCGTCCTTGGCCTTGGCATCGCCGGGCGGTGGGGCTCCAGCCTCACCTTGCGCTGCTCCCTCGGGCGCAGGGGCACCGGTGGCGTAGGCGGCCTGGCCGACCTTCATCAGCTCCTCCTGCAAATCCTTAGTCATTGTCTTAAGGAGCTCGGTGTCCGGCTCCGCCTCGGCGACCTTGTCCTTCAGTGCTTGCAGCTTGGGGTCGATGCTGGCCTTCAGATCTGCAGGCACCTTCTCACCGAGATCGGACAGCTGCTTCTTGGTTTGGTAGACCAGGCTCTCTGCGTTGTTCTTGGTCTCTACACTATCCTTTCGCTTGGCATCCTCGGCAGCGTTGGCCTCTGCGTCCTGCACCATCTTATCGACATCTGTCTTGTCCAGCGTGGAGGATCCGGCGATAGTGATCGTCTGCTCTTTGCCCGTGCCACGGTCCTTTGCACCGACATTGAGGATGCCGTTGGCATCAATGTCAAACGTCACCTCGATCTGGGGTACACCTCGCGGTGCCGGCGGCACACCATCGAGGCGAAAGGTTCCCAGAATCTTGTTGTCTTTTGCGAACTGCCGCTCACCCTGCAGCACCACAATCTCCACGGATGGCTGGGAGTCCGTGGCAGTGGAAAAAACCTCCGTCTTCTTGGTTGGGATGGTGGTATTCCGAGGAATCAGGACCGTGGCCACACCACCCAGCGTCTCGACACCCAAGGACAGGGGCGTTACATCCAGCAAGACGATATCCTTTACATCACCTGCCAGGACACCAGCTTGCACAGCCGCACCCACAGCCACCACCTCATCCGGGTTCACGCTCTGGTTGGGCTTCTTGCCTCCGACTAGTTCCGATGCAAGGGCCTGGATGGAAGGAATTCGGGTGGAGCCGCCTACGAGCACGATCTCGTTAATGTCACTGGCGCTCAGCTTGGAATCTTTCAGTGCGTTCTCGACAGGAGTCCTGCATCGGGCGATGAGCTTGCTCGCGAGCTGCTCGAACTTGGCACGAGACAAACTCTGCTCGATATGCTTGGGACCCGTGGCATCGGCGGTGATGAAAGGGAGGGAGATCTTGGCCTCCTGCACGCCCGAGAGCTCAATCTTGGCCTTCTCCGCAGCCTCGGTAAGACGCTGCAGCGCCTGCCTGTCCTTCAGGAGGTCGATTCCCTCGGTCTTTTGGAAATCTTCTGCCAGCCAGTCCACGATGACCTTGTCAAAATCATCGCCACCCAGGTGGGTGTCGCCGTTAGTGGCGAGCACTTCACAAACCCCGTCACCGACCTCCAACACAGAGACGTCAAAGGTCCCTCCACCGAGGTCGAACACCAGAATCGTCTCGTTGTTGGCCTTCTCCAACCCATACGCCAACGATGCGGCAGTGGGCTCATTAACGATTCTCAACACGTCCAAACCAGCAATTTTTCCCGCATCCTTCGTGGCCTGACGCTGGGAGTCGTTGAAGTAGGCTGGAACAGTCACGACGGCCTTCTGGACCTTGGCACTCAAGTATGTGCCTGCATCCCCACTCAGCTTACGAAGCACCTGCTCTCTTCAGGGGCGAACTTCTTGCTCAAGACCGGACAATCGATCTTCACTTTCTGGCCTTCGAAGTCCACTTTGTAGGACACTTCCTTGAGCTCTTCCTCTACTTCGTTCTGCTGGCGACCAACGAAGCGTTTCACAGAGTAGAAGGTGTTCTCCGGGTTAACGACGGCCTGGCGCTTTGCAATCTGCCCGACCAGCAGCTCCCCACTCTTCGAGTAGGCCACGACGCTGGGCGTGGTGCGAGCACCCTCCGCGTTGGGGATCACGGTAGGCGCACCGGCCTCCATGGCCGCCACTGCGGAGTTCGTCGTGCCCAGGTCGATGCCCACCACTTTCTCGCCAGGGGCCACTTCGGCACGTGAGGCGACTCTGCTGGCTCGGCCCTTGCGTCGGGTGGATGCCGCCATGGCACCAGCAGCCGTGGCTGCCGCCGTCCCCACCGTGAAGGCGCCGCCGGCACTGCCGGCCTCGGCAGAGGCCTTCGCAGAGGCCTTCACAGCGGCCACCGGCGCGCGTCGGTTCCCCGAATCCGGGGAGGCGACAAAGCCCAGCCCGGCAAGACCAGCACAGGCAACCGCAGCGGTTCCCGCCTTCTTCGCGGCCATCTTGATTGCAGAGCGCAAGAAACCAGAAGTCGCAAGTCGCTGTGACAGCTCGAGCCAGTTCATGAGGGTGCGCTTTGTGTGCTGACTGCATCTCTTCCAGCTTTCAGCGACTCTCTCCTGTAACCTTAGATCCAATCATTTGCTCGAGCTTGAGCTTGTTTGCCTCTAAGGTAGAACAGCATCACGAAACTCGCTCTCCCTGCATCACAGGGCTATACTATACGAGGCACGACTCAAACATCTCAATCACAATCGTGGCTCTCAGCCCTCTTCCATCTGCACCCTGAGCCAACATGGCCAAGCAAAACCAAAGCATCCTTGTTCGAAGCCGGGACCATCTATCGGCTGGCAATCGTCTTCAGCCTCATGCCGCTTTGTAGAAAGTTGTTGCATTTAAGGCGTTTGAGAGCTTCTCCTATGCGGGGTTCAAAGCTCCAGTTGGCCTGCATGTCAAGGCAATTTGATCGGTCTTCCGGTTTGATGCCGATCTCATGTCGGCAGGCCCGAAACTACTGTCTAGGGATGCGACGCACGTGCATGGCATGTAAGATCCTTTCCTGCTTTGTGCTGGTAATGAACCCATCTAAAGCCGCCATGTGCACTGCTTGCGACAAAGATGCCCAGGCAAGCACCAGCCCTGCATTGACAGCGATAAGTGCACCTTGGTTGAACGACCGCACAGAGCGCTGAAAAGTGATATCTCAATTGCTAGCTTCGTGTTCCCACATGGACTTCCATGTCTTCACCGCAGACTGCAAGTTGTGCAAGTGGAGAGAACTCCGTGCATACACCAATGACCAGGGAACCCAAGGCCTCCAAATGCCTCCCGTCACCTTTTGCAAGAAACGGACATCCTTCCAACCAACCCTCACATTTGCCAAGGCACGGCGCCAAACGCAAGCCGAGACACCCATGGCAGGTAGTGGTATTTACAATGCTGGGCGACGACAGGGCCCAAGGTCACAGGTTGTCTCGTCTTGCTGATCTTTGGTGTGATGTGCAGCTGCACCGCTAAAAACCTTCAGCTCATGCACAACCTGGAACCTGTAGCAGCCGCGGTGATCCTAACCGGTAAGACCTAACGTGCAGAACCCCACCGAGTTACAGGGCTCACAAGGACTACGAACTGGCATGCGATCCCTCGGTGTCGTTGACCTGTAACCATTGCCCGTAGAAGTCGAATCAAGTCCGCAAGATGGCAAGATGCATCACGTGAGGCAGCGGAGTCCAAGCGTGGATTCAGAGAACCGAGCCCTCTGCTTCGCGCACATCGGCAGCGATCGATCTCCATACAGCGGCCATGCACCCAGTAACACTAGCTGGCCATGGAATGCGTAATGATGTAATGAAGCCGTGTGAATCGCGCAGTGGCTCATGGCGTGAAATTCTGACCTGACATGCATGACCTAAAACGGCTCCAGCATCCCAGCGCTCGACAAAAGCCGCCACCAAGCTCCACTGATCCAGAACTTCTGCGAGTTCTATGGCGAAGTCGTGGGGAAATTGTGTTTCGGGGTTGCTTGTTGAAAGTGCTTCCCAGGCCTGTATCTTCCGCTCCGTGTGTGCTTAAACTCCTGGATGTCACTACCGTCCTTTTGCAGTGCTACAAGTATCATACTCACTCGAATCGGATTTGGGTTTGCAATCCCTAAGCCCTTGTCTGTTCTTGCCTTCTACGCCTGTCAAAGCTTGTTCAATGCAACGACCGACATACCGAAAGATCGCCCCGGGGCACAGGGCACACCTCGGTGTCAAGTGCTGCCATAGCCCCAACAAGCCGGCGGCCACTGTCCACCTTCCAAGCATCTTTGCAGCTCACGCCCACGCTTTATTGCTATCGTGTCTGCAACACACGCACTGTTCACAGCTGACAAGGAGGTGACAAGGAGGAGCCGGGACTTCAACATGAAAATCAACGTGCTGATGCAAGTCCTGAAGAGCTGCGTGGAAATCGTGCCAGCGTACATGCGGCAGGCGTAGTGGCGGCGCTTCTTCGGCCACAGTTCTGGACTTGTTTCCTGTTGGCAATGTTGATGATAATGATAATGAACATGAAAAGATGTTAGGGGCCGGGAACCTTGATTCTGATATCAAAACCAATATGAAACTAGACATGACAAATAAATGACACGGAAAATAATACAGTGTGACTCAAGAATCATGAACAATGGAAGGTGGTGGACGAAAGGAAATGATGTCCCCTCGCACTTTACCGCTACTATAGATGCGGGCCTAAGTTCGACTGAACAAACTTAAGGTGATGCGGATAAACATACCGTAAACAATGATGCAACTGCAACGAAAAACCATAAAAAGTGGCAAGAGATGCCATGCTGAAGCTTCGTATCCGAGCTAGCCGCAGACGCCCAATGCCTGGCTGCCTGTCACGAAAGCTTTCGCAGCGGCAACCACTTGTTGTGCTTGCAAGCATACCTCCATGATGTCCGCAGATCCCAGAAGATGCGCCTGAAGTCGGCACGGTTGATCGTCACATGAAGCCCGGGTGGTATATGCTGCCGCCAAGCACCACGCAACTGCGAAGCTGTGCACCAACATGGCACTGCTGAACATGTTCGACTGGCTGTCCAAGCATGGCCTCGAGGACCCATTGAAGGAAAACTGCTGCATGGGTCCACATGTCAAAGTTCGGCTTTGCGGATGCCATTGGGACACGCACGTGGATGATGACATCACATTCGTCCCACCTCGCTGCCGGCAGGAATGTCCACACTCTCTCCACCGCATGTCTCTCAGCTGCCGACTGCCTATCGCACGAAGCAGCTCGGGAACAGCCTGCCCGGATGGGATCCACAGCAAGCGGTTGCTCGCGGAATTTCGCGCAGAAACAAACCATACACTGTTTGATTGTTTGACGCGAATTTTAATCACTTCAGGACGAGTTACTGTGGTCGAACATAGAACGGAAGTCAACCAAAAACTTGGCCTGCCGAGCACCAGGGGCCAGGCTGGCATAAACATGCTGCAGGTCCTGAGCGGCACAACAGCAACCTTGTAAAAACGGTTTGATATGGGATGTGGGATGTGGGGTTGAATCCGCATGAAACCGCCAGTGTTGGCATGCGCTGGCCGAACCTCACACTGCGACCCATATCAATATGATTCTGTGACGTAGGATTGACGTCGGACCTCCGGATTGGCGGTAAGGCCACGGCCAAGGACAGGGCCAGAAGCGGCGAAACATAGGGTCGAAAACAGTAGGCAGCCACGCCGATGCAAGCGCTGGCAAATGTAGGGCGACGCGAAGCAAGCCAAGCCAATCCAGGGTCGCCGGTTTAGCCCGGCAACACTGGACACGGCGAACCACCCTATAGGGGTCTGGCATAAGGAGAGGGGTCAGGGCAGAGATTTATCGCGATAAATTCCTTGCGGCCTGAGGTTCTGCAGGAGAAGCAGGTGGGATAAAAAAGGGCTTGACCCCTTTTCTAATCACTGCTTGAGCATAATATTTGAACGGAGTTGTTGAGAGATATGAGAGGCAATCGCGGGATAAAATCCAGGGGCCCAACCCTGAAACAAGCCTGGGAATCTGTGGCAAGCGGGACTATGTGATGCAGCTGCACTCGAAGCCCGCTGTATTTCGGTCAGCTTCGCTGGGCCACTACACTCAAGCCGTGAACCCAGCCGTCGCTCCCCCATGGGCCACTGCACTCAAGCTGTGAACCCAAGAGTCCTACTCACAGTGCATTTTGCACAAGCGACAGGCCCCGCGCAGCCAAAAGCAGCACATTTTAAAGTTCATTTCCCAGAGCCTGCACCATCACATGTGCCGGTGGCCTGGGCCTTGGGCCTCTGCCGTGGCACGGTCTCTGAGTTGATGATTGGACTCATGCATGCCTGGGAAGGTTGGTGATCCAGCGATCCACCCTGCTGCAAATGCTTCAGTTCCAAAGAGCCCCTAATGCATTTTTCGAGGCTTGGAAAACGCGTTTGGGGGCTGCTTCAGCTTTGCCTGTGCTCCTGTCGCCCTACTGCAATTTTTTCTTTTTTCCGACAGACTTTTCGAACTGCCTGAGTGCGAGCCGCGGTCGCAGCTGTCCTGCTACCTGGACTGGCTACTACACGGCTACTGAGGCTGTCAGGGCCGCAGCGGCAGGCGGCTCCGTCCGGCGAGGGCTTCGAGGTGGAGCAAGGCGTCCAGAGGCAGCCCTTCGTGGGTTTCGGACTGCAATGGATGCATCCACGGGCCGCCTAACGCTGTGCTTGCGACGGCTTGTTGCACAGCCACGGACAGCATGCTCCACAAACGCCTCGCCCACGCGCTAGAAACGGCTGCACGGAGGGCAGGAGGAGCCCGGTGGCCTCTCAGCTCGTTCCAGCGACCGCCCACCTCGGAGCCGAGGACGACAAGCTTTTGCGGCCCGCCTGTCTCGAACTCCGGGTAAGCTGCAATTTTTCAATTCCAGGGAGCCCCTAATGCATTTTTCAAGGTTTGGACAACGCATTTAGGAGCTGCTTCAGCTTTGCCGGTGCTCCTGTGGCCCCCTACCCCGAAACGACATCGAGCACCCCAAGCCTCCAAACCCGTACCAAATGCATTTCCCGAGGCCTCCTAAACGCATTTTGCTTCCGTTTCAGCAGATCTGGAGCTTCATACCGTCCTTAAAGCCCCCATAAAAAATTGTTGCAAATGCTTCAGCTCCAGGGAGCCCCTTTGGCTACCGTCTCAGCAGAGGTGGAGCTCCATGCCATCCCTAAGCCTGCAAACGCAGCCACCCACAAACCGCTCGAATCAGAATCTTGTGTTCAATGCCCCCATGAACAGCTCTATCAGCTTTTCAGGCGTCTGCATGTGAGCCCAATGACAGCCACTCCGCTGTTGGGGTTGTTCAATGGGATTATTTTCCCTGGCCCCCGGCGTACAGGAAAGCCTGGAGGGGTGTGAGTCGGTTTTCTGGATAGTTGGATGCTCTGTTAAAACACGGGGACAGATCGAGGGTGGAAGGTCTTTGTAGACTGCCGAAACCCAGTAAAATCATGTAAAATCCCGGCCTGGAACCCTGCCCGTGTCCGTTTTCCTTGGCCCCGCAAGGACAGGAGCAGGCTTCAAACCTGGAAAGTGCCATTGTTTTCCAGCTTATGTGCCTGTTGCGCACGGAAATACATCGCCAAAGCCTAGACACAGGACTACAATGTGACAGATCGATGATGGAAGGTCTCCCGTACGCTGGTGCAACCCACTAAAATCCCGACCTGGAACCGTGCCTCTGTCCATTTTCCCTGGCCCTGAGTGGCGTAATGCTGACGGGTGCGAAACGCACATCAAAGAAGGCCGTATCGAAGGTGGAAGGTCTCCCGCCGTTGGTGAAACCCAGCACAGAACCGATTTGGAGCCCTGCCGGTGTCCACTTAATCGGCCTTGGCAGGTGTTGCCGGAAAGCGTGCAGGTTCCGTGGCGTGCGCTCTGCAGTGGAAATCGCCCGCGCCGCCTACTGGGCATCCTGGGCAGACTGCTTGCCGACCATCCAAGAACGTGCGCCGCTGGCAGCCGCTCGATTGGTCCGCGCATTGCAGTCCTCGGCCGAGACCGCGCAGCCCCACGCAGCTGCTCGTCATGCGGCCGCCTGTCTGCAAAACCAGGGCTACGATGCCCCCGCGTGGGACGCGCTGCTTCGGGCGCGGCCCCAGCAGGAAGAACGCGAGTTTGGGGAGTTTCTGCGAGGCTGGCAGCATTGTGCTGCCCGAACCAGCGACAAGCGCGCCCTTATTTGCATCTTTTTCACATCGATGCCGCATCTCGAGCGCTGCTGCTGTCGCAGGCCGGGCCACACGCTGCGCGACGCCTTCACCGTCTTCCCAACCTCAGCCGAGGTGACAGTGCCATCACCACTCTTCCGGGTCTTGCTGCTACGACGGCTCCGCTTACCGCTGCCAGTGGCGCCGCGCACGTGCGCCTGCCGCGGCCGCCGTGACCCTCTGGGCGACCATAGGGCTGCATGTGCGACTTCCGGTGCGCTCGCATCCCGAGCCCTTCCTCTCGAGCGGGCGGTGGCAAGGGTGTGCCAAGAAGCCGGGGCGCGGGTGGCCCGTAACGTTCGCCTGGCCGACATGAACATCCGATGACCGCCGCATCGAAGTTGTCGCGAACGGGCTGTCCCTGTGGCATGGCGCGCAGCAGGCTGTTGATGCCACCATCGTCACCCCCGCGACGCGGGCGGGTGGGGCCCAGCCGGGTGCAGACGTGCACCCGGGTCGAGCTGTTGAGGCTGAGGGTGCCGCCCGCCGCAAACGCCGCCAGACCGACCCCGAGCTCGTGCGCGCTCGCCGCTGCCGCTTGGTGGTCGTTGGTGTGGAAGTTGGAGGCCGGCTTGGCGCCGAGGTGGCCACCTGGCTCCGCTTGCTCGCCAGGCAGCGTGCCTCGGAGGTGCAGGCAGCCATGCGGGCGCCAGCGCGTGCGGCGTGGGTTGCCCGTTGGTCCGGGTTGCTCGCCCTAGCTGCACAGCGCGCCCTCGCCGCATCCCTGTTGGAGCTCCCGCTTGCTGGGGAGCGCAACGTCGCCGGAGAAGCGCCCGAGCTGCACGAGATCCTCGCCGACGTGCGCTGGCAGCTTCCGGTAGTCGGCAGCCGCCAGGGGCCCCAGTCCCGCGTTTACTGCGCAGCTCCAGTTGCACGAAAGCCTCGCTTCCGAGCGGCGCGCCCAGCACCAGTAGCCCCTGCTGGTGCGCCGGCAAGGACCAGGCGCCCGTCCAGACTGGGTCTGCACCGACTGGTTGAAAACGGGTGAGGCCAGCGGGCTCCTCACCGGCGGCATTCCACACGCGGGTTTTGCCCTGGTTCAGGCGTATGCGCGCATGGCGCACAACGCGTCCTCCGGGGCGCCGTGCAGCACATCGGTGCAGTCGGGCGCTGACACGACATAAGTGTCGTCCAAGAATGCGAAAATGGCCTCCTTGTAGCCCAGCCGCTGCTTCGCTTAAAGCCGCATGCTGCGCCAGGGAGAACAGTGCCGGCATCAGCGGATCCCCTTGCTCGCCCCCGTCGCCTTGCGTTATCTCGGCTGGCGCTGCCATACAACTGGCGGGCAAAAGGCAGGAGCGGGGCGAGGGCCGGGCCATGCACCCAGTCTCCGAGACCGGCGTGCTCTCGCGGGCGGGCTCCTCGGAGGATTGCTCGCCAGCTCGGGCAGTGTTCCAAACCTTCTGCTTCCAGCAGCTCGCGGGACTTCGTGCGGTCGCTCCCGCCGTTTTCCAACTGCTCGGTCGCTGTCGGCGAAAACGACGAGTCGCGCATGGATGACCGGTAAATCATCGGCCAGACCTGCCCAGTACGCTGTCGGGCTCGTGCTCTTCGCCGATTTCAACCCAAGGGCGCCCAATTATAATGGGCTGGCTTATTCGCACCTCGTGCCGCCTGCTCCTCACCTCGGGCGAAGCTTGAAGCAAGCTACCCTGGATTGCAGCTGCGTACCGGAACTGGGCAGCGACGCAGCGGAGGATCGCGAAGGTGAACGTTGCGAGACTGTTGATCCACCAGTCCTGCACGCATGTCCGTGCATCTGTATAGAGTACGTCACGCGGAGCAGTTTTGCCACCCCGTGCCTCTGCCGCGTCGCTCTCTACGATATCCCAAAACAATGTTCACGTCGTGCTTCGTGGCAGTGCCCCCTGGCTCCCGGCAGCCTGTTGCGGCAGCCCGCTATGGACCGCTGAGGGAGACTTCCTGGGGAGCACAACACACCAGTCGGGCAAGCTCCGACCTGGAGTGGGAAGCGGAACCGGCGCAGACACACGCGACGGAACAGCGGCGCGTCAAAACTGAGCAGGTGAGGTTGGCCACGCGGTGGGCGTGAGGTGCAAGCAGATGCCAGTCTCGTCTCATCGGATGGACCTACGACGTCGTTGAGGGCGGGTAAAGTGCCACTGCCCCGCATGACAGTGTTTCACCACCCACAGAACTGTGGTAGTAGTAACACAAGACCGGTTGTTTCGGAACCCCTGCAAACAAAGTAGAGTGGCCATGAATTGCGGTTCCCAGGGCACTACTTTTTTGGACGGCCTTGCTTGCCTTGGACGATGCGGGTGCCTCACCAGCCAATCTGCCAAAGGTTGCCCTAGACTCACGCCACCCGCCTTCCCGCAAGGCGGGTATAGGCACCGTGACTCGCGGAGACTGTGCACACAGCGCGCGCTGGCAACAAGGAGCCCATCGCCCAGCTCGGCGTCAACAAAAACTTCAAGGCTTTTCGGAAGCGCGAAGGCCTCCTGAATTGCCCCGGCGATGCCCCGCCGATGGGCTCACTTCGTACTGACCATAGGCGACTGCCACACACCTGCTTGGCATTTGGATTTGCGTGAGGGCCCGCGCCAAAGAGCCTACTCACGGCTTCAGTATAATGGATTTGCCGGAAACGGTGAAGGTGCGTTGAGTTTCCACAAGCCGAGGCCGGAGTAAGATCAAGATCAAGTTCACAGCTCGTGCGAAAAGCTGCAAAACGCCTGGGTCGGCGACACACACTCGCAACAGAGCGGATAGGGCAAGGTGCCCGTGACGGGTCGGCAGAAACACCGCTCTGAACGTGCACGCGTGTGCAAGACGCCAGCGCAGCGGAATTCCCAGTAGTTCTACAGTTCAGCTCGATACCGCGCATCCTTGTTCAGCGACCTCTATTTGCCAGCAACTGTCGCCTCCAATGTTACGGGCTGATGCGAGACTCGGTATCTATCAGGCGATATGTACAACACACATGAAGCTGCCAGTCATGTGTATGCCTGAAAGGGCCTTGCTGAGCCTGACCTACTGATCAGGTCACAGCCTGAAATAGTTACTTGTCAACTATGTAGGCTGGCAAGCCAATGCCGACAAGGGACGGACATGACAATGCCAGCCCTAGGAGCTGGGCGTATGCTTGGCGGGCATGCACAGTGACCCAACCCGGACGGTGAGTGAAAATGTGCATCGACATCTTCGTGAACATTGCTTGCGGGATGAGCACACTGGCCCAAAGCTTAAAATGCAACTGATGAACGAATCAGTCAAAAAAACAAATGGGACGACTCGGTGAGGGAGCAACCCTGATACCGAGGGCGGCTCATTTTGACTGTAAACGGCCTCTCCACACTCATCAGCCAAAGGAGCCTCATTTGGCAGGTGCAACTACTACCTTCGATCTGACAGTTGGCAACGCTCGGGCGCCAGAAGCACAGAGGATGCACGTACGACCGATCGAACTCCAATTACTTGGCGGATGGGCACTCAGGGTGCAGCGAAGAAGGACGCCCGCTGGGCAAGGGCAACCTGCCACGTGTTGAATGAAGCTGCGCACCAGAAGCATATTTGGGCGCACCCGTGCTCCCTTTTAGGATTCTTCTTTGGGTGAAGACTAACATGCTAAAATGATTATGATGTTGATGTTGATGCTCTTCTAGCGATGACATGATGGTGAAAATGATGATGATGACGACGACAATGCAGACCTGACTACGGCTGATGCTACTACTGCCACTACCGCTGCTTCTGCTTCCACCGCGACTGCGACGGTAACCCACATGAGATGTGATGCAAAAGTTTTGTCATCAGTTGCCACGGTCTGTCTCTGCATTCAAGGTCACTGATTGAGTTTTGAAAGGCTTACACATTCGCAGCAGGGCTTGTGATTGCAAAGGCCGGGCAATGAGATGAGATGCGAGCCCGGCATCGCATGACGCGCGAAGGACAGCATCATCAGCAGCAGAGGCAGGCTGCACCATTGTTTGGTCCGCCCAGACTCACTGAGACGGCAATGCCTTCAACAGCAGCTGCCCGGTTCACTGAGCTGGCCTTGCAGACTTCGACCGCGTCACCACCGGGCCTCTGCAGCACGAGAAGTCAAGAATCGACACAGGCCCATGGCTCCGCTGCTTCGATTACACCGTTACGCGTGACGTTAAGCTTCGGACTTGAAGGCAGACCCAGCAAGATGGGGTGTTTCATCCGCTGGAGTTCTTCTTCGGAGGCTTCGGTCTTGCGGTTGCTGTGCCTATTAACCTGCCATGACCAACATCGTGCTCAAATGGCCACCTCGGGGTGTTGAGACCCTTGAAGTCTGGACCTGGATCCGAATCTTGGTAGGCTGCATGATACTATTGCAGTAACTGTTGGCATGAGGTGTGGTGGCAGATGATTACAGCCTTTCGGTGGCGTACGATTCTGGAAGCTTCAGGTGTTTGGGGCATCGGGCACGGGAGGCCAGCACGCCGGAGCAACAAGGCTTGGATGGTGCAGTGAGACTTAGAATCGCTCGACCTGCTTTTAGGTGTGGAGCTGCGGTGGTTCGGGGTAGCATGGTGTAGCTACTGCTATTGCAGCAAGGTCTTGGGCAAACAAAAAATTAACAAAAACAGACACAAAGGGAAGACCATCACGCCAGCCAAGGCCCGGTCAAGGCGAAGCGAATCAGCCCCTGGCGCATGCTGGAGCAGAGTGGCACAGGGGCTCGAAGCTTCTTCGCAGGGTTTGGGATTCAGGTTTCGGGTGCCGGATGCAACCGGATGCAAGGCGTTAGCAATATAGAACACTGGTCATTGATAGTCCAAGGTTCGGAGATCTCACACATGGATTTGCGCCTCTGGCGGCCCAATCTGAACCTGAGCAGTGCACGGACACCCGCACGCACAGAGAAGTGACACAGTCTGCATGCTGAGGCTTTGACCATACGAGCTGCTGCAGAGTGCGAGAGAAGCACACGAATGCAGTCGAAGATCACTATGTAACCTTTTGTGAGTTTTGTGTTTCATGCCGAAGCTGGGCTGGAAACTTTGCCAATTACGGCGATAACCCACGAGCACATGATCTTCAGGCAATTCTCAAAACAACCATATTACGCTGGTTTGCAACTGCCCGGCTAGGAATCCTCCGACATTCCCAGACCCAAAACGAAGCAATCTGCGGGGCTTGAATGAACCACGGCGACAACGATTAGCATAGGAGATTCACAACTTTGCACTTATTTGCTTGAAAGGACTTGCCGGTAGCTTGCTGCTTGAAATCTTTGTTTCGTTTTAGATGTGACGCGTTGTTTTACCTGTAGCTTGTTTCGGCTCCTGCCCTGCCACCGCCTTTGCTGCCGCTGCCCCCTCGCCCAACTTCAACCTCGACCCTCTGGGCTTGCAGCAAATTTGGCCTCTAAACAACGGGCTTCCTCAAATGTTACCACTAATTTCCTTATTGTTTCTCAATTATGTCTCATCCTTTTCTTGGCTTCCTTTCGAACCCCTACATACTGCTAAGACTTGCCATGGCTGGTCTATCTCGCGAGCATGCCAAAAGTAAATGCTTGGGTCTCGTGAATTATCTTGGATGTGAACTCGTGATACTTGTCCGAATGCTTGTCTATTTCATTTGGGGGTTTGTTTTTGCTTAATTTTTGATGCGTTTGTGCTTGTATCTTTTTGGCTGCTTTGTTGATTCCCCATTTTTTTTGACGTGCTTTAACCTTACTTCCAACTGTTACGGTAGGCACACCAACACACAACAAGACATGTGAACTGTCCATGACTGCAGCAAGCACAAGATACGCGCACTCTCTTTTGTTGCCGAGTGGGGTATGTCACGAAAGTTTGTCATGCACAAAAGGGTGCACACACCCTGCAAGGACGGCAATCCGTCATCGCACACAGACCCCCCAAGTGTATTACCGGGCGGGCGGGCGGGAAAAAATTAAGCACATCAGCTGCACACAGCCAAAACTTTGCACGGAAATGAAGATTCGATCGCAAAGTTCAGAAGACATCAAGATGTTCCCAGTTAAATTGCAAAGCTGCACACAGCAAAATTCAAGCATGAAGAATGTTCAGGACATGGCACCCTCATGTTTGCAGAAAACAGTTTGGG